TCAGATTTTGAGCTGAATCGTCTGTGCCAGCAGTACTCCACTATCAGCTCCTACCAGCTTGAAAATGATCTCCTGTTTGACTCTGGAAAATTCCACCACCTTACAAAGCTGCTGGCCTCACTTAAAGAGAAGGTAGATAGAAATATACCGAACCATTTCGTTCTACGTTTTTGATTTTTGGAGCACAGGTTTAAGATTTTTTACAGCACAACCTTCCTGTCGTCATACAGGGGGACCGAGTGGTATTATTCAGTCAGTTCACCATGATGCTTGATATTGTGGAAGTGCTGCTGAAACATCTTATGCATCGTTACATCAGACTGGATGGATCCACACCCATAGCGGACAGGTGGGTTTCAAATATTGAAATAAGATCATTGTAGCTAACAAGGCATCAAGCATTTGATGTTATTAGGTCTAAATCTTTTCCTTTAAAATTATTTATTGGACTTCATTCTTGCGGTTCTCAGTCATATAGGTCATGCTTATCTAAGGAGCTTGGAAAGAAAAGCGACTAGACTTTAAACTTCTTTTCAGTCACTTTTTTCCCCAAGCTCCTTAGATTCTAGTTATATTCTATGTTCTGCAAACCAGTAGAATAAAATTGTAACGTGATTTAAATTTAATATCTAAAAGGTCACGTTGTGCACATGTGGATGTCTATACAGACACTTTGACTGGAACTTAAACAACATCAGATATTACATTACAGTAAAGGCACCTTAAATCCTGCAGAAGTGTTTGTTAAAGTTTAAGCTGTTTGAAAAGTTTAGCACATCTGTTATTCTAGCTGTTGCATCAGGTAAAAATGTGTCAAAATGGAACCAATGTCTGTTCAATTCAGCTTGTACCCACCTGTAGCTGTTAAATGGTTTTCTTTCTCCTTCAGGATTGTGTTGATTGATGAGTTCAACACAGACCCTGACATATTTGTGTTCCTGCTGTCAACCCGTGCTGGCGGCCTCGGCATAAACCTGACCTCAGCTAACGTTGTGATTCTACATGACATCGACTGCAATCCCTACAATGACAAACAAGCAGAGGATAGGTGTCACCGTGTGGGCCAGACCAGGTTAGATGGAATCTGTGTACAATCCTAGATATATTTTACCCAACAATGTCTTGTGATTGTGCCTTATCATGTCAGTTACTGGGCAGAAAAGCGTTTTGCAATATCAATGCAGGTTCTGTTGGGAGGAAATTCTGTGGTTAGTATGGTTGCACACATGCAGTGTGTGTAGTGATGGATCTACTTCTGTGTATCAGAACTGTACAGGTGATTAAGCTGATCAGTAAGGACACTATAGAGGACTGCATCCTGCAACTGGGCAACAAGAAACTAAAGCTGGAGCAGGACATGATCTCATCTGAACAAAGTAAGGAGATATTTAAAGATATGTGCTGTACCTATTTTCACCGAAGGTTTCTCTAGTAGATAAATTCAATTAGATAAATGCATTTGTTTCGGTTTTTAAAATAAACATGAAAAAAAAATACTCAAAACATAAAAAACAGTAGTGAGGATTTCATTAAGAAGTTCTAACCTTTAAGGCCCAAAGTGTGCTTCTGTTCTTTTAAACATGGTCAGCTGCTTTCACAATAAACTCCTGCAAATTTTGTACGAGTACCAAATTTGTCAGAGAGATTATTGCCCCTCACTCACGTCTGTGCTCTGCAAGCAGACACTTTGAATATTTATTTTAGCAAGTAATACTGTCTGGCCATCTGACACTTCTCTTTCTCTGCGTGAGCACCCGAATCGATACTCTGTTTTGCTTCTTTCTGTCTTTGAGTGACATTTTTAAACACCACAGCTGCTATCTTTAGCTTATGTGTACGACATATTTTTGTCAGATAAAGGTTGCAAGCCTCTGACTGCAGTGTCTACATCTGTAAATATTTGCTTTTGATTTCTGCTAAAACTCCAGCTGACTTTAAAACTTGGTCCAAGTTTTATGGGGTTTTTCTGTTTGGAAAGTGCATGAATTCCAGGAGCAGTTATTGGATTAACCTGATTCTATTGTGGAAAATGTGGGAAATTGATTAACATTATTAGGCAGGTGAAGTGCAAACAATGAGGATTGAGAAGATAATCACAGGAAAATGTAGATATTTTTTGCAGTGTGTACCCTGCCTTTTGTTAACTGGAATAGCTAAGTTGGTTAGGCTAATTCAAAAATAATGCTAACAAATGATTTGTCCTTTAGGTGATGAGGGGACCATACCTGAGGATATGGCATCTTTGATCAAAGCCTCACTGGGACTGTGATACACAAATATGTGAAACTTGAAACTGTACAAATGCATTTGTATGGAGTCTCCTGAGATTTCGGGAAGACTTGAGTATTCTGACTGAGCTAACACCATTGTGTCTGTACTTGAGAACTGCTGTAAACCATAAACTGCCATGCAAACACTGAAATCCAATAGATCAGATTTACAGTGTGACATGGCAGCTGTGCCTAAAACAGTTTTTACATACACACAGTTTTTGCTCACACTTTGACTACACGACCAGTATAAACTGCATTTTAGCCTCTGCATTTTGTAAGTGTACCAAGCAGTAAAAACTTGAAAGAGTGTGATTTTTAAATCTTTAGTAGTAAAAAAGTATTTAAAGTACACTATCGCACTGGTCTGACAGAATTAAAGTGTCGTTTAAGTTTAAACATATGCAGTGTTGCTCTGCTCCCATTCAGATAAAAGTAACATGGTGGTAAGGAGAATGATGCTTACTTGCCAAACTTTGATACAGGAAATATTTTAAAATCTAGGACTTAAAGAAGAAGGTTCGAGCATGGAGAATGGTGGATATATTTTTACCCGCCGTTCCATACAGTGTTTGTGTGTTCAGAGAAATACAGTTCAAATAGCAAGTATACTGAAAATGTTGTTCACATTAAATTCCTCTACCATTTCTGATTTAAAATTTGTGGCTGCATCACATGCATATGGACTCTGTCAGTGTTAAGTGTAATGTCTTACATTTCATCCTGTTGTCATCTTCTAATTACATATTTAGGAAAGGCAGACTGCATCAAGCATACAGATATTTTAATTCTTATCCTGGTATGTAAGAAAAAACCTATGGTGCTTGAATTTCTTTCATAGCTGTTTCTACTCCTTTAATTATCGTGCCGAGAGAAGACTTTTCGATTTAAGGAAGCAGCTGCCGCATTCGTGTACTGTATAAGTAGATAATGTGTTGTTATTGTAAAAGTGTTACTGTAAAAGCTTTTACTAAGTCATGTGTATGTTTGTTTGTTTTTTTTAGTTTCTTGTTAAAACTGAATAATAAATATTGGAATAATTGTTTGTGTGGTGTCTATAACAGTGCACCAGTAGAGGGAGCCAATGACAATTTTTTAACTATTATTATCAGAGATTACAAAGATCCTCCCAAAGGCCAGAGTTGGTAACGGTCTGTAGTAGTATACATTGCTGAACTATAATTACATTTCCAATTTTTCATTTGGAGAAACAGTAAAGAGTGCCAAAATAATCACAGAGCAATAATATAAGAAATTATTAATAAACTAAAATTGGGAGGTCTGATATTTTTTCAGAAAATAATTGTTTGTATAAGTGCGTATTGTTACCTTGTTGCTGATGTAGACAGTTCCAACAGGCTTAAGAAAAGTCAAGGGTACTTAAAGATGAAACTGGTAATGTCTTGATTCAATTGTTTTTTTTAAATTTTGGTTTATACAAAAATGCTGCTGACATGTATATAGAAGACTAACAACAAGTAGGCTATCAAAATGTATCAATTTAATATAATGTACAATTGCACACTTTATCATTCATTATATATGTATATCATTAGAATGCATTCATGTCAGATTAAAAAATTAGGAAAAATTTGTTCCTGTAAAAATGTGCTCAAATACCCCATCAAATTGGAACACCGCTGAAGGTCAGCAAACATTTTGGTGCACATTTTACCAAGTTGTTCTGTCATATAGGCAAATCACAAGAATGACTTAATGTCTTGGAAAACAGAACCACCAGATGATTATATAGAGTACTGTGCAAAAGTCTTGAGCCATATCTAATTCCTTTTTGTTTCCAAGAGTTTATTGTAATTTTTAAAGTGTCTTTATTTTTATTTGGTCACTCATTTAAAGTCCAGTCCTTGTACCTTGTACCATGCAGCACTGACCCATGGCTTATTCAAGCATAATAAAAAGCACCTATTCCAGTACTGTCTATGCACAGATAGCTCGGCAAAGAAACAGTTTTAAGTTAAAAACGGTTAAAACTTGACATATTTCAGCATGGTGTTCAGCGTGTCCTTAAAAATAGGAGGACTTAAATAAGTCAAAGACCATAGATGGTATCTGAGAGAGAAATCTGTTTTTCCAGTTTATCCATCGACCAGTCACTGAAGCATCATCAGAAATGGTCTTAAGAGAAAAATGGCTGTCGAGGAGCTGTTCAAGTAAGGGAAAGATAAAAGGCTGGGGCGTGGCCAATTACACAAGAACTGGACTGAAAATTAAAAGCAACAGGTCTTAACAGCCACAGCCATTGTAAGACATGGTTGAAACTGACTTGGTTTGGGGCTGCATTGGAACCAGTGGTTTTGGGAATCATCTGAATGGCCACAGCTTCATTTTTCAGCATGACAATATTCTATCCATGCATGCAGTAAAAGCATGCATGGATAGAAAAACACACAAACGCTCAGTCATAGATCAGAATCTGAACGTCAGCATTATTGAAGCAGTCTGGGGATCATCTTGACAGAGAACAAAGCAAAAAGTAGCCAACATACAAAGTACAGCATTAGAATGTCCTTCAAGAAGCCTGGAGATCTACTTCTGAAGGCTACTTAAAAAAAATGACAAGAAAGCTTGTCTAACAGAATTCAGTCTGTGTTGAAGACTACAGGTGGTCATACCAAATATTGACTTTTAAGCTCATTACAAATGTACAAACCCTTATTTTGTCTTAGATTTTTTTTTTAATAAATGTTGATCTTGTAATGTTTGTTGCTGCACCTATTTCCTGTTTTCATAGCAAAATATGGAGAAACAAAGAAATGAGGTACAGACTTTTGCACTACTGTAAATCCATACCTAATCTACTCAGCATTGGGGGAGTATCGTCCACACCTATATCCTGTCAAGTGAGCATCACAGTTGATTCTGTAGGTAAAATAGAGAACTCCTTTGCGCAGCTGACAGCTTAAGGAATGAATTCCTCGCTCTGGAAACACAATACACCTCCCTGCAATATCATTGTAAAGCACGTCCCTATCCCAGACTTCAAACCTCAACTCCTGACCCAGCTCCACTGAGCCAAAGTCATAGGTGGCATTCCATATCGGGTCATTGTCATCCATCACCGTGTCAGTCTCTTCATATATGCCATTGTAGAAGATCTTCACATAGGCATCTGTTTTTGTGAAGGTGTCTGCCCTCAGGCCTGCAGCTCTGTGAATCTCCAGTTGGAGAGTTCCTCTACCAGCCCTTAAAGGGCAGCAGTTATGGTCCAGGTTGGGAGTCGGTGAGCAGTTCTTGAAACCAAGTTGGTCTTCCTTCAGCTGGTTCTCTTTTATGTACTCTGAGACAGTCCTTATCAGATTAGCGCTGATTTGTGAATCCTCCACCAAGTGATGCAGAGGGAAGATGGCATAAGAAACCACATCGGGGTTTTCATGAAGGCTGTTCATCCAGCTGTGGTAGGCTTCAGATGGGTCCTGCTGGTAGAGGATGTCAGGGAAGTACCTCTCTCCTCCAGTAACCTCAATCTTATGGGTCATGAAGCCTTGGTAAAAGCCCATGCTCATGTTGCCTTTAAATAGGCTGTCACACCTGTTGGAGAAAGATACATTGGCTGGGAGGAAACCCAATGCCATACGGAGTTCAACATTCAGGCAGTTTTTGATCTCTGCCTCTGAAAAGCCCTTCAGGGTGGCCAGGCAGGTCCTGAAGGCAGTGATTCGCCTCACCTTACCACCGAGCTGGACCTAACACAAAACAGTAATAGAATGCATTATAACATCACCATTATTTTGCAGCAGAAATGCTTTCCACAGCCTACATATTGCAGCATTAAACCCCTGTGTATCCAACAAGTTTCACTGACCTGGTGTATATAGTGTGTTCCATAAGTGTCTATTAGACGTCTGTATATGGCTCTGTTCTGGCTTGTGTTTAAACTCTGTGGGAGTCTCTTGAGATGCTTTGTGAACTCTGCACTCAGCGGTGGATGATCAGCCAGCCTGTAGCTGCAAAAACAAAAGGCATGTGGAGTTCAATCATGAAACAACAGCAATTGAACCTTGCTTTTCTGTAAGAGGGACGATAAGCAGCTCAGTCCACTGAGTCCAACAATTCCAAAAGTAAACATTTCTCTCACATTGTAATCGAGGTCATCCTTTCAGTTGTAACACATACAACTGAAAGGATGAGCCTGTGTTGCTTTACCTGTAATAGGTGCAACTGATTTCATGAATGGCAAAAGTGGCTTTGTCCACACTGTGCTGCGAACGTGCAAACTTTGCCAAATCTGAGCGGCTTCCTCCCAGAACTGCCTTTCCAATGTTGTCAAGGCTTAAACCCAAATCCCAGTTGTTGTTAACCAGCGAGTTGGAGCTGCGCAGCAGGGAGTCCACAGAGTGGTGAAGTGCACTGGAAAGCTGCTTAGAGCAGCGGCTGAAGGGACGCCAGTCAAGCACTGAAGCTGGGAGTCTCTGAATCTGTGGAGCAGATGAAAGGCAGGAAGTGGAGCGGGATGCAGGTGGTGGAGGAAAATATAGGAAGTTGAGGGGGAGGAAAAATGCAGGAAAGTACAGAAAAAAACAGGGTGAAGGAATGAACTTGAGGCTGATAAAGAGTGTGAAGGTTAAGTAGTAGGTTTCATGTTTTCACCTCTCCTTTTTGGAATCGGTTCGGACACAGTGTGCAGGTGTGGTTGTCAGCTAGGTGGGCTTTGACATTGATGACATATGCTCCTGTCCGACGCATCCGCACCACGTCAAAGCCTTCTCCAGCCAGATTGTGGCCCGGTACAAAAGGAGCCTTCTCACACTGGGACCCTGTGCCACTCCGACAGGCCTGGACACTGCAGTCTTCCAGCATAATTGGCAAAGCCAACATAAACAGGAAAATGTGTCTCTGCTGGTATCCTCCTGCACACATGGTTACCTATAGGTACAGTGAGGGATAAAAAAAAGGGAGTCAGTGGATATTAATGGTTACTGTGTATAAGCACATTTTTGTAACTGAGTTATTTTCCTTTGAAATAAAGAAAATGTGATTTTTTTTTAATTGATGTAAATGCAGATGAGCTTCTAATCCTCTTAAATATATAAGCTGTAATCAGGCCACAGATATTTTGTTAAAGCTGAGAATGTGCACATTGGTGGCATACATTCTTACCTTGTCCTAGCTTTCTTTGTCCTCTACGTTTCGTTGTTGTCCAGTATTTTTTCCACAGCCAAAATAAATCCCCCTCCTTATTTGCACCGTTGATTGCACAGCTCGCTGTGAACAATGGAACCTCAGGCTGACGTCTCGATCCTGCTGGAAATAAAATCACGGTTGGACGAGCCTTAGCGTTGCTGAGAGGTTGTGCTGGAAGCCTGCTGCGTGCACACTTTGGTCTATCATCTGCCTTTTAAAAAAAACATGGAGGGAGTTGCCTGGCTATGCTGCTCTCTCCCTCTCTGTCTCTCTCCCTCTCTACCCCAAGGCCTTCCCAATTTCCTCAGCATGAGCGGGTTTGTTTTTATTCTCAAGACCCAGTTCTGTAAATCCCTCACAGCCCTGTATGTCTGTGCACGTGCATGTGCATTTGTGGGGGAGGGAAATTTTGTGTAGTCACGAGAGAAAAGATGAACAGTGGTCTGAGCAGTCTTTACGGGAAATGGGTGTGTATTTATGTATGTTTGTACATGTGAGTGTACAGTGCACGGGTGTATGTCTGCTGGACTGAATCTGTGCTTTCGTTCACATAATGTCTGAGCTGGCCTGTCTGTGTGCTGATAACCTTACCAAAACCATGAGCTCAGCTTTGCCACTGTCTATTTCTGGATGTGGGTGGCGTGTTTGTGGTTTTTTCTCAGTAAGGACAAAGGAGAGAAACATGTCTTTATGCAAAAGGTTTCATTCAGTGTAAGAGGTATTCAGTTCATATTTGAATAAAGAATATTTTGTGTGGTGCCACAGATTTATGCAAGTTTTCCTGGTGTAAGTTCCCTTCACTGTTAAAATTTTGTTCTTTACACTTTATACTATACAAACTATAAAGCAGGTATACTATAAAGTTCCAGTTAAATATGCTTTGTATCAGGTCAAAGATCTAGCACAAATTCATTTGTTGTATCATGAAAAAAATTCATACAAACCCTGATCTAGGTAAGTCTTTTGTGAGGGCTGTTTCTTTGCTGATCATGACAAAGTATAAAGTAAAACTGAATTAAATGTTTTATTTGAGGCAAATGTACAAGCAAGATCTGACCTCGATCTCTCTAATAATCCTGTGTTTGTTTTAATGTCGGCCTTCACTGATTACCCCGTCCCAGATTCACATGAACTCTGGCCCAAAAGCACTTGAATTGTGATGGACACTGCTGTGTATATAAGATTTTTATCTTTCATGTTGTTTTAGTGAAGCACTGAGGTCCGTGGGAGCACTGCACTTTCAAGTTCCTGTGTATGATCTGTACATATGTTTTGACAATAAAGCTGACTTTGACTTTGACTAATGTTAATGACTGATTAAAAATGGGTTGGAGTGGGAGTTGTGAACCTTGTTTGCCTTCTAAAGGGCGCCTACATGGTTAGAGAAAGACCATTAATCAATACAAAATAAAGACTGATCCATATAATGTCTGCTATGCTCTAGTGCACTTTCAGAGTCACACCAGTTTTTATAGTAGGCCTTAGAGACAGAAAGTATCAACATAAAAAAAAAACCTGTGATACTTTAGATTTGTACTCCAAAAGATTGATTTTGTTCATCTGGACGTAACGTTTTCAGTGGGACAGACATTTTGTCACTAATTCAGCTGACACTCGAGAATTCATGAATCTCAGCTGACTGCAGGTTTCCCCAGCCTTGAAAAAAAGTGCATTTGCACAATGAAGCTAGCACCCGAATGAACAATGGGCTGTGAGGTGAGTTCCTTGATCATTAATGTGCAAATTCTCATGACCATTGATCAACAACTACTGATAAAAGTGGTGCTAGTTTCAGTCATTGTGCAATGTACTGTTTATAAGGTAGTCAGCTGAGGGTGAAGAAGTCACTTGGATGAGTGATGAAACATTTCTCCCACTGAAAACACTACGTCCAGATGAACAGAATAAACTATATGGGAACCAGGTATTTGTCCAATTAGGCTCGTTAAACTCTAGTTTCTGTTTGCTTGTGTCCACTTTTGGCTCCTTCTCCCGCACTCAACCACAGGGTACTATATAATACAGCTGTAGCATAATATTTGCCTATGAAAATCATTAGGACCTGTCAAAACATGTCCAGTTGCAAGTAAATCAAACCTCCATTGAGTTAATGAGAAAGACACATCTGCTAGTTCTTCTTGGTGGAGGACAGCAAGAAGAATTTAGACACTCTCAAAGCTCATGTTCCCTCTGCTAAAATTGAAACAGCATCCTCCAAAAGAAGTTGCCCGGTTTTGTGCCAAGGTAGGTATCCCCAACAGAAAATTTTTCCCTGCATCAGGAGCACGCAGCAGCTGTCTAAATCATGGACAAATAGTATCTCACATTCTTGATTTTTAGTCCACAAACACTTCTTAAAATAACTTATTACTCCAGACATTTTTGAGGTTTTAGCTCTTAATACAGTAAAGTTAGGATACAAATAATTATCAGGCAATTATTTGTATCCTGTGTGGTGCCACAGATTTATGTCTACAGTAGTTTTTGACAATTACTGTAGACAAGGCTTAGAGTTAGACTTTCAAATGAATTAAAAACCAGTCTAGCTCTCACTTAAGTCGACTTTAAAAAAAAACCATCTCATAGATCTTAGTAACTGCTACATTATGCAAACAGCATCTAAATACAAAAATAATGATATACTTTGTATTTAGACATTGTGAAATTACAAATAAAGTGTTCTTCGGTTATGAATTATACACGGTTTATTGCAAGCAGTGTGAAAATCATACACAAAGTTCTTTTATTGGAGCAAAAATAGAATTAATATAAAACATGGCATGTGCATATTGACCTCAAGGGGGAGCCGTTGGGCTTACTGTTAACTTTGAAAATCTCTTCACCTTCTTTTTTGAAAAGAGTCAAAACATTTTTCCAGAGCTATAGAATAACAGTATAAAGTTCTTGAGTACAAAACACAAAAAAACAAACTGAAAAGGCTGATCCAAAATAAAAGCTCTTAACATGTTTCAGTGCTGTAAGAAGCATAACAACCAATAGAGTCACATTACTATAATCTTTGTATCTAGTTGATCAAGGTATTACGTTCTTATTACATCTTGTTGTGTATCCATCTCAGCCTCTTCAGGTATTTTCTCATAACCTCTCATAGTTCTAAACCCTGACATCCTCCTCCTTCTTTTCACCAAGAAAACTGCCACTATGGCCACCAGCAGTATCATACCGATCACCCCAAAAGCTACACCTGCCTTTTCGCCACTAGACATCTGATTCAGTTTAGGATGAAGATTTTGAATAAATTCCTTGATTTCTTCTGGTTTGGCAAGTTTCCACTTCTTGGTCTGGCCCACTCTCACCCAGCTGTTTTCTCCTTCAGTCATCACCATCACTGTGTTGGTGGCTTGCATGCTGATAAGTGGAGGTTTGGTGAACGGAGGCAG